TTACACAAACCCAACCCGAACTTTACCCAAAGATTAAACATATTCACATTTACTTAAATGACCTAAACTGAACTGAACTGATTGTAGTTGAACTGAATTGAACAAAACTGAATTGAGCTTAAATGAATATTTAATGACAGAATGAAATTAGGAGCTGAACTTAACTGAACTTAAGCTAAAGTGAATAGGCCCTTAGTACTGAAAATTGACTCTACCCAAACTTACTCGACCCAAACTGATTTGACCCAAACTGATTCGACCCGTACTTGACCTGCCGCGAACTCAACCAAAAGTGTTGACCCGAATTTGAACTAAAACCCAAATTGACCTGACCCGACTCGACTCGAGCTCGACCCAAATACTTGTTGACCCAAAAGTGACCCGACCCAAAATATCCCGAATGACCCGTTTGCCAAATCTAATCCAAACTAAAAAATGTTTTGAACCATAAATGACTCAATCCATTTCATCCCCGATTATAACTAAACACACAAATCGAATAAAATTATCAATGTGAGCTTGATCCACAATATCGACACATAAAGAATGATTTGACATGAATTAACCCGACCTAAATGACCTGACTCGAAGTTGACCCGATTCGAAGTGACCCGACTCGAAATAACCCGATCCATAATGATCCGATAGGGTGATATGTACTAACATTTTATTTATTTATTTTTTAAAAGAAATTTACCTTAGTTTATAATTATTAATTAAAAAATACTAAATTACTCTTATTATTAAACTAAGAGGGATAGAATGTTTAAGTTAATTTATTTTGGCAACTCGACTCGAACTTGACCTGACTCGAATTGCTCAACCCGAATCAACCTGACCCAAAAATTAGTTTAGAAAATTGACTCGACCCGATTTGACCTAACCCGAACTGACCCGACCTAAACTGACTCGACTCTAACTTGACCCAATGCGAACTCAACCCAAAGTGCTAACCTGAATTCGATCGAAACCTGAATACCCAAATTGACCCGACTCGACCCGAATACTTGTTGATCGAAAGCGACCCGACCAGAAGTAACCTAAACGACCCGTTTTCCAGATCTAATCTGTAATACCCCATATTTTCATACGTATTTTCTAATTAATTAATCAAGCATTATTTTATAAAAAGGGTATTTTAGTAAATTCAATATTTGGAGCGAAAATAATATTTGAATTTTGGCGTCAAATATAAATATTTAATCATTTGAATAATTAATTATTTTCGGATTTCTAAATTAATAATATAGGTTTAATTATCTTTTTTTAAGGTCGGTCCATACTTTATTATACTAACTATTTCAATAGAAATATCTAATATACATTATGTATTTAACTACTTTTTATATTATCTAAAATATTTATTTATTCAATTATTTTATTATGATTTGCGTTTTTTTTTTTAACAGAAATTTTTTTGTGAACGTGAGGAACGTGAGCTTATCATGTTTTTAAGAGTGATTTTATCACTTTAGTTTGTTAATAACTATTTAACTTAACCTCTAATTCTCTATCTCATTTTGTTCCTATCTTCCTTCTCCCAACCATATGTGTATCCATCTAATTTTTCTTATCGTTTAACCAACCTACTAATCTAGACCAAATGTTACTCAAATTCATTCAACAAACTTAAACTTATCATGTTCTTATTCTAATATCATTCCACCTTAAGCTCTATCCTTTCTACACCCTCAACACTATAAATAGACCCTTAATTTTTTCCACTTATTCACACCAATTATCTACTTTTCTTCTCCTCTTTTTACACAAATCATCCCGTTTATCTTGAAGCCAATTTTCGTGCACTTCTGGTCAGTGGTGGGATATTGACGTTTCACAAAATATTGTTCCTCTTGAAAAATCCTTGAGTTTAGGCTCAAGAATCACCCAATTCGGAGTTATATCGAACGAGTTACAGCCTCTGCAAGTTTTGCCTATTATTTCTAACGCAAATCCAATTCTTCTCTTTTCCTTGGTTTCTTATCTTTTCTTATTCTCTTCTCTTATTCAACTATTATTATTATTATTATTATTATTATTATTACTATTATTATTATTATTATTATTACTATTATTATTATTATCATTATTATTATTATTATTATGGGGGATTTATAAATAATTATTATGAGTAGTTTTAATTATATAAAATCATATTTTTAATAATATTTATGTTGAAAGATTCATGTACATATAGTTGAGAGGTTTTAATTTAATTATTTGTTAACCTTATATTGATTAAGGTTATATTTATTTGTAGGGTGTGTTCAATCAAAGTTCTTGAGGTTCTTTTTGTGTGGTTTTTATAGCAAGGATTAAGGTAAGTTTAGGTGGCTAGATACCTTTGAAAGTAATTGGTTTTGTAACATGTTTTACATGATTTAAGTGGTGATTGAATTAAATTGATTTTGAAATAAATTATGTTTGAAAGTATTTATTTTAATAAAAGTATTTGAATGATTGATTTTTAAATCATGTTTTGAATGGTTTGGATTACTTATCGTGTTTAAATAATATTGGAAACTATTGAATATTAAAAGGATTCATTGAACCATTGAATTATTATTATTAATGCTTTATAAGCATGTTAGTAATTCCACTATTCGGATTTGGTTTATTGATAAGGCCTTGGACTTTGTATGACCGGGTCTTTCCTCAAGAATAGCCTTGTAATATAAGAAGACTAGCATGAGGGGTGTGCACACTTGGGTGAGGAATTAGATTAAAAGGAATTGGTTCTTAATAAAGGAATTGGTTTTATTAACTTTTATTTTGAATATTGAATCATTGGAATCGGTTTTGGAATAATGAGTTTTGAATTTATTGGATTAATTATTGGAATTGGTTTTAAAAGCATGTTTGCAAATAAATTGTGTTTACACTATCTTGCACTTATCGTACTTAGCATATTTTGCTAATCCGTATTTCTTATTTGTTTTGGTTCGCCCTATTTATCGTAATGGTAAGCAGTGTTGACTATTTTCAGGTGGAGTCATGAATGAGCATATGGGAGTCCAGGGATTTGCTTCACCTAGTTTAGGAATGTTGGTCTTGTGTTTATTTTTTAGCAATCATAATAATGTTACTATTTTTATAAGTATTAATAAAAGAAAGTTGATTTTCTGCTGCAAGTTTTGTTGTTTAGTTAAGTATTTTGAGTAGCCTTCCGTAATTACGCGGCGGTTATACGCTCAAGTCTATCTCTACGATATAATTATACGTATTATACTGGTATTTCCGTAGAGGGAGATTTTGGGGTGTTACATAATCCGAATTAAATATACGCTTGGTACCATAAATGACTTAAACCATTTCATCACCGATCATAACTAAACACACAAACCGAATAAAATTATCAATTTGAGTTCTATATATCGACACATAAAAAACGACTTGAACATGACCCGACCCGAACATACTCGATCATAAATTTACATGACCCGAATGTACCCGACAAGAAATTGACCCGACCTGAATGACCTGACTTGAACTTAATTCAAAAATCAAAGTTGACTCGACCCGAAGTGACCCAAATCGACATGACCCAAAGTGACCCGACCTGAAATGCCCGACTTGGAATAACCTGACCCAAAATGACCCGATAAGGCAATATAAACACATTTTATTTTTTAAATTTTTTTTTAAAGAAATTTACTTTAGTTTTTAATTATTATGAAGTAAACATTACTCTTATTATTGAAATAAGAGTGATTTTCCCATAGATCTTTTAAGTTAATTTATTTTTGGCGACTCGACTCGAACCTAACTCGACCCAAACTGACCCGACCCAAATTTACTCAACCCGAATTTGACCCGATGAGAACTCAACCAAAAGTGCTGACCCAAATTTGACCAAAACTCGAATAGACCCGACTCAACTCGAACCCGAGCCGAATACTTGTTTGCCAAATCTAGTCCAAACTAAATTGGTACCATAAATGACTCAAACCATTTCATTCCCAATCATAACTAAAAACATAAAGCGAATAAAATTATAAATTTATGCTTGATCCACAATATCGACACATAGAGAACGGCCTGAACATGACCCGACTCGAACATACTCGACCATAAATTAACCCGACCCGAGAGTACTAGACAGGAAAATGACCTAACTCGAATGACCTGACTCAAAGTTGATTCGAAAATCGAAGTGACCCGAATTGATTGACCCGAACCGACACGATATGAAGTGACCTAACTCGAAATAACCCGACCCAAAATGACCCGATGATAGGACTTATTTATTTATTTTTTTTTAGTTTTTAATTATTACATAAAAATTAATCTTATTATTGAAATTAAAGGGATTTTTCCATACATCGTTTATGTTAATTTATTTTTGGCGACTCAACCTAAACCTTACCTGATTAGAACTTATTGACTCGACCCGACCTGACCCAAAAATTAGTCCTGGAAATTGACTCGACCCGACCTGACCCAACTCGTATTGACCCGACCACAACTGACTCGACCCAAACCTGACTTGACATGACATGAATTCAACCAAAATTGTTGACCCGAATTTGACCCAAGCCCGAATTTACTTGACTCAACTAGAATACTTGCTAACCGGAAAGCGACCCGAACCGAAATAACTCGAACGACCCGTTTGCTTGATCTAATCCAAATTAAAAAATGCTTGGTACCATAAATAACTCAAACCATTTCATCCTCGATCATAACTAAACACACAAATTGAATAAAATTATCAATTTGAGTTTGATCCACAATATAAACACATAAATAACGACATGAACATTACTCAACCATAAGTGTGGCAAATTACCGCCGTTGAAATACAATTAAATTTTTTCATAAATTCAAAATGTTACACCAAAAAGTAAAGCGGGAAGTCGTACACCACGTCATCGATCCACAATCCGTGTAAGTCTCATAAACAACCCTCAACCGTAGATTTAACATCCCATTCAATAACGGTCCAGATCTCATTGCTGACTCCCACCCTTATTTCACTCCTCACTATAAAACAACCTCTCATTTCTCCTTGAAATCTCATCAATCCCGCCTTCTTCACTCTCATCAATACTTTCTCTCTCTAAAAAATTCTTACTCAACTCTCTCTCTAAAATCCTTCATATTCTCTCTCATCACCAACAATGGCACGAACAAAGCAAACCGCCAGAAAGTCCACCGGAGGAAAGGCCCCAAGGAAGCAACTCGCCACCAAGGCAGCCCGGAAGTCAGCCCCAGCCACCGGCGGAGTGAAGAAGCCTCACCGTTTCAGACCCGGAACCGTTGCGCTTCGTGAGATCAGGAAGTACCAGAAGAGCACTGAGCTTCTCATCAGGAAGCTTCCATTCCAGAGACTTGTCAGAGAAATTGCTCAGGATTTCAAGACTGATCTCCGTTTCCAGAGCTCTGCTGTTGCCGCTCTTCAGGAGGCTGCCGAGGCGTACTTGGTTGGTCTCTTTGAGGATACTAACCTCTGCGCAATTCACGCTAAGAGGGTTACTATTATGCCCAAGGATATCCAGCTTGCCCGAAGGATTCGTGGTGAGAGGGCTTGATTTCTGGGTTAGGGTTAGGGTTAGGGTTTTATTTTGTAATATGTTGAAGATCTTTAATTGAAAGTAGTTTATTATCTATATTATGTAGTTATCGGTGTAATGTGATGGTTAGTCAATAAATTTATTGACTGTCTTAATTTTCTATATGAATATATATGGTTGTTCTGTTTCTCTTGGTTTTTGATTGTGTTTGATTGATTATTACTGTTTGATTTCTGTCTATTTTAGCAGTTTGTAAATTTAATCTATATTCTGGAATGCTATAAATGGTTGTTGAGTACTTCTTATAAGTTTTGATACTATATTGTTAATTGGGTTATTTAATCTGAACTTAGTTGACTAGTCTGATTATAGTGAGCTGTTCAACGTACAAATTAGGTTGAACATTGTTTAACCTGTACCTTGATGATGTTGATAACGTCAAATTTCAGAATTAGTTGACATAACATTTCTGGAGTACTTAGCATTTGGACCATGGCTATAACTTGATGATTTGATGCAAGTATTGGTGTGCATTTTTGAGCTTTGTATTCAGAGGTGGAGCTGTAATTTGGTGATGCTCTTATTATCTAGAGTCATGGATTGTGGGATGGGATGTAAACAAGTAATCTAGTGGTAGAGCATCCAACTCAGTGGCGGATCTGCCTTTGTGCCTGGTGGGTCAAATGACTCACCAGGGCCCAAAAAAGTTTTTTTTTTTAAAAAAAAAAAATCCTGGGTGCTAGATCATCATCTACCTCCAAATTGTTACTACTACAGCAAATTGTACCCTGAAATTATGCTAAAATTAAGTTAATCATATAATTTGGAGTAAAATTGAATGAAAATGTGAGAAATTGGGAATCACACAGGAAGTAGTAGAAATGGCGGGAGAAGAGAGAGAAGGGAGTGTTGAAAGGAGGGAGAGTGACACCATTATTGAGGAGGAGAGAGAAAGTGAAAGAGATGGAATTTTGAAGCCAAAAAAAATGGTGAAAAACCAAAGAATGAAGGAGTATTATGAGGTGGGATGTGTTTTGCTGATATCTGTGGAGATTGGAAAGCGGAAGTGGGGTTTTTTAATTGGATATCAATATATCATCTCTTATCCTAATCAGTCTATTCATCTGATTTCAGAAACTCTGTAGTTAGAGTTCGGCATGGTCCTATCGTGCCAAAAAAAATCTAAGTTTTTTGTTCATTTTCCATTGCACTGAAACTGGTTGATGATTTGCTTTAGAGAAAGAGGGTACAAGAACAGAGGATATATGGTTTCTGGGTTTTTGGATGTATTTTTTAGTACTATTATTTGGTTGTTTGATAAATTTTTTTTTTTACATATTTGGTTATCAATTTGCATATACTCATAAGGATATCATATCTCAGAAAAGCCAAATTGAATTTATGAGTTTCTCTTTTTTGTGCTAAGGGTTACATGACATCTTGACTTCTAACTCTTGTAATACAGTACTTATGAACCCTCTAGATTGATGGAGGGCCGAAATCAGTTTAGCTGCCTGATAGACAAAATGCTGCTTCTGAGTATTGTATGGTACAATTGTACAAAGTAAGGCCCCATTCCTGATAAACAGCCGATGTAATTTCATTATTTATTGCTGTATTTGTAATTTTGTACTGACATGACAGTCATTCGTGCTCGTGTTAAGGTTTCAAGTGTGCTAAACTTTAGACATGCTGGACCTGGTGACCTTCTAAGCTAGACTCAAGAGGTATTAGCACTCATGACTTGACTTTTGTAATATAGCACTCAACGTGTTTGAAGTTATGAACCCACCAGATTTTTAGAGGTTGAAGTCAGTCTAGCTGCCTGACAATGATAGGTGAAGAAGTGCTGCTTTTGAGTATGGAACAAAGCAAGCCTCCAATCTTGATAAACATCTGATGTATTTTCATAACTTTTATTGTTTGGACTTTTTTACTATGACGAGATAGTCAATTGTGCTAATGTAAGGTTGTAAGTTCTCTGTTGGAGCTTTGTTCCCTGAACTTTAGACAGTCCGGGGCTGCTGAACTTCTAAGCTAGAATCAAGAGATTGGCTTTCATGTTGGTATTTCTCATTGAATTCCTTGCTGTTTGACTCAATAGTGCACAGAATCGAAGAGATAAGCGTAAAGCAGTGATCCGTTCGTTTCATACTTGTATAAAAATCTTGCAAAAAGTTTGAGCAGAAAAGCAAGCTACTATAGTGTTCTTCATGAATGTAAAAGGGTTCTATAACTGGGATGGAGGGATTGGAATATAATGCTGTTAGATAGTACAAAATTACTCACATTAACCTCTCTTAGCTGGCAATAATAATTTTCAGTAGCTAAGTTGTTGAGGTGGGATTAATGCTCGCTGTTATGTCTCTCTAATCATCTTAATGAGGACATGAGTTTATCTAGGTCCTACCCAAATACACCTAAGTTTAATGCATTGATGCATTGGATATCGCATGAACCAGACAAAGCTCGACTGCTCGAGCTTAGAAGGCACACCACTGATAAAACAGATGTTAACAACTCAAATTTGAGCTTGTTAAGCTCAATTATTTCAGGTCCGGCCATACTGAACATGTATACCAACTTGAATTTGAGTATCTCGAGCTAAAATCATTTCTCTTAATAATTTGGGTCTGAAGTACTTTAGAGTTTAGTGTTATCTAAAAATCAATTAGTCTAGATACACTTAACTGGCTCATTTCAGTCACATACATGTACTAAATGGATAGTATCTTAAATCACTCATTTGTGGGCCGGTTTAAACGACCAAGAAGGCCCAATTTGCATATAAGAAATACATGGGCCTCGCAACTCATAAGTCTTAACATCCAATAGGAAAATTCCAAAAAAAAAAAAAAAAGGAAGCAATCATTATAACATAACACTCACACACGCCTGAAATTAGGGGTTGGAACTAGGGAAGATAGCACTTATGAATGAATTTATTAAAAGGTGGCCCTAACTTAAGCTTTATTTATTTATTTATTTGTTATTGAGGAGATAAGAAGCTAATTAATTAATATATTAGGTTAATAATTTAACATAAAAAAGAGTAGCTTTACAATACTTGTGTTGTCATCTTCTTGTGTTAAATGGTTGGTCAAATAAAGTTTTGCCCTTTTTCTGTTTCTCAAGAGTCTTGACTCCTTGACCCACCCACTTTTATTGCTACTAACATCATTTTCTTTTTGGAGTTTGGGGAAGTTAGGGTTTCCCTACTTATCTCATTGATTACAATTATTAATATTTCTGTCCATGTGACCCCTCTAAATACTAAAATCCACCTATATATCCCTCTATATTAAAGTAATCTTTCATGTCATTGTCTCTATTTATCAGCGTAATTAGTACACCTTTGCAATCTTCTTACCCAATTGTGCTCGTCCACCACAAGAAAGAGATTAAGTTTGGGTTCCAATATGCCAACATGTGACATGTCAAATTGCAAAATGACAATTTGGGATTTTGACACTATAAAAACTTGTATCCCCATGTATACACTTTCTTTTAATTCAATTGATTTATCGTATACGTAGATAAATGAATCAATCAAATTAAGTCATATTCAGTATACTATGATTGCTTAATTGGTCAAATCCATTCAACTATTCCATTCTTTAATTTAGTTTGGATTTATTGTATTGAGGTGATCAAGTGTTAATGAGTCAATATTGGAATTTGATGCTTATCAAGGTAGGTCAATGTTTGGGTTTTAAGGTTAATAAATTCAGATGCTACTAAACTCGGAAATGAACTGGAATTGAGATGCTACTAAGATGAATTTAATATTATAGTAATTTCTTATGGGTTGAAATTCAATTACATTGCACACTCTAATTCGAATCAGGTTGGTTCAATAATCAATACGTAAACAAGATAACAATCATAATTAACAGAAAAGCAAACATATTATAGTAACTAACCCGACTCAAATTTTATCAACCCATCACCCAAATAGGACTTGATGTAAGATAAAATGTTACAAGTGGGCTCAATAGAACTCTTGTTGTAGCTTGACACAAGCAAGAATCAACCCTATTCCACCCTTTTGGGTGCGTGAAAAATCTTGGCACAAGGCCAGTCATGGTTAGAGTGATACCCACGCTCAAGCACTAAACGTGGGTCTACATTAAAAATAATGAATGAAGAAGTCTACTCTATCTACTGGTAATTAGGGCTGTCAAACGGGTCGTGTCGTGTCGGGTTCGTGTTCGTGTCGATGTTAAATGGGTTGAAAAACCCTTGACCCAAACCTAACCCATTTATTAAACGGGTTGAAAACCCTTGACCCAAACCTAACCCGCTTATTAAACGGGTTACCCGTGTAACCTTTTACCCATATAGTATGTAATAAACTATAATATTCAATATAAAAATTAAAAAGACATACATCATTAATTCATTAATGATACTATAAGAGTTTAAAATTAGTAATTATAGCAAAAGTACTACAAGAATTTAAAGTTGGTTGCTTTAGCAGCACAACCATACATAAGAATTGTTCCAAATTAACAGCCAAATTTTAATTTACAAAAGTTGAAATTTATTTTATCCGCCAAATTAACTGCCAAAAATTACCTAAATGTATACATGGTGCCAAGGCAATTTACAAAATTACAAGTTTAGAACAAAATTTTCGGTTTTTGTTACTACTTTATAATAGGTTAAGCGTGTCGGGTTCGGGTTAGTGGGTGTCGTTCAACCCATTTATATAATTGGGTTACGCGTTTCGGTTTCGGGTTGAAAATTTCAACCCAAACCTAACCCGTTTAATTTCGTGTCGGGTTCGTGTCGACCCAATTATGTAAACGGGTCGAGAATACTTGACCCAAAACCGCTTATTTCGTGTCGGATTCGTGTCAAGTTAGTGGGTGTCGTTCAACCCATTTATATAATTGGGTTACGCGTTTCGGTTTCGGGTTGAAAATTTCAACCCAAACCTAACCCGTTTAATTTCGTGTCGGGTTCGTGTCGACCCAATTATGTAAACGGGTCGAGAATACTTGACCCAAAACCGCTTATTTCGTGTCGGATTCGTGTCAAGTTTTCGTGTCGTGTCAGCTTTTGACAGCCCTACTGGTAATCAAGTGAGGCGTACTTCTACAACACTCTCGGGTTCCACTCACGTACATTCTTCGGATTCTTTTCTGTCTCACCTCGTCCCCAGCATCCCATCCTTTTTTTTTTTTTTTTTTTTCACAAAAATAACAACCCATGTGATTACATTCCCAAAATACCCCTCTCCCTCTTTACTAAACCTTCCAAAATGTTTCTCATTTTTGGCTATGTAGTTTTCGTAAGTACTCGTATTGGCTGGTATAATCAAGGACGTTGACAATCTTCACATAAGGTTACACTAATTGGTTATTTACGGTTTCTAATGCATTATTTTGACCATAATTTTATGAATATCGTAATTACGTCTTGTTAAATAATTATAAAAAGTTAAAACTAATTTTGATACTACATATTTAGATAATTTCAGGAAAAATATTATGACTTGTGAGAATTTATGGTCAAAATTTGAGAAATTATGTAATTATTGAATAACAGAGAAAGTATGTCTTTTGGAAAGTGTTAGATGTATATATTGATATCATTGTAGTTTCAACAATTTGTCCACATATTTGGTGACCCATGGATAGGGAATTTTGTACTTGCTACATGTGTATTGTTGTCTAATTATTTAGTCAATTCTTATCTTTGCAATCTCTTATAATCTACACCACTTAATCGGAATTAATTCTGACAAACATCAAAGAATGATTGACGTTTTTATATAGTTAATTTTATAATTGTTGGTTGAGTTAGTAATAATGTCATTGAAAATATATACCGAGTATATCCAATAAATTATATCATTGACTTATAAAAAAATTACATTGAGAAAATATATCCAATTAAAGCATTATTGACCTGTAAAAAATTACATTTGAAAAAATATATATCCAATAAACGCATCATTAACCTCCAAAAAATTACACATAATTTAGGATAACAAACTAGAAAAGTTGACAAGAAAAATGGGATAGGAGAAAGACATTTACTTTATGACATTATTTATTAAGGTTATTTTGTTTTGATTTTGATTGTGAGTTGGCTATTATGAAGTTATACTCATAGGAGAATAATGTAATAATGCAAAAGAGTAAGATGGTGGAGTATACTATTCCTAACTTGAACCCTAATTCATTTTGGGTTAGTCCTTAGAGAAACCATTAGATTTAATATGATTATTCATGAGAAGTTAGGCTATAATTAAATTAAGTACAACAGTAGAATTATTCACGAGTTTTTTTTTTTTTTTTTTTTTTTTTTTTTTTTTTTTTTTTTGTTCTTGGCTATATGTGAAGGTAGCTAGATGATCTGGCCATGTTAATGCATGCATGCTTAGATAGGGCAGTGGCCTAGCTAAAGACTGGATTAGCTCCTCAGTCAATGGTAGCATTATTTGTGTTAATCATTTTTTAATTAAATTAGTCTAGTTTAAGGATTTTGATTTGTCCTGGTGCATATGATCGGCTACTTTGCTCACCTCATGCATTCCTGATAACAAGGGACCATTATATCAAATTGTGAGATATTGCTCAATGTTTATTGTATCAACTACAAATCATAGATTTAACATGGATCTTGATTTTAAAAATTGAGTAGACTATATAGATAAACTTTACGATCTAATGGTTTTGTACTTATATTACTACCTACTCCATTATTTTTTTCTAGGAAAATAGAATGACCTTAACAAATTTCTCCATCATGTTGTGTGTTTATGAGAAAGACATTTGGAAAACAAGTAAGCAACTCATGCAATAAATAACCAGTCGGCTTAATAGGTAACCATATGGTAAACAAAGCAAATAAAAAATTGTAAAATTTGCTCAATGCTCATGTTTGATTTAATCTATTATTTGCAATTAGAAAGATAAAATTGGATTAAATAGATTTGAAAAATAGATAACAATGTAATAATTCTCCTTAATTTGACTTATATCTCTATTCTAAATTGCAACTTTACTACTATCACCTTTAGGGAGCTTTGTTTTAGAGATAAAAAATTGATAATTGACCATATTTGCAAATAAGTATTTTGTACTCATTTGCAAAATTGTACATGAAAAAAGTAAGGAAATAGGAAGAATAGGTTAAGAAATTTGGCTCATTTATAAATGATTATAAATAATCCATATTACTTACAAAACATAGATAGATGAGCAAAATTTTTTTACTTAATTTGTATTAATTTTCCTTAAAAGTATATTTAATGGAATACAGATTACAAGTTTTGTAGAATAATGTCTTTAAAAAAAGTTTTGTAGAATATTTGTACAAGCAAGTTTAGGTGATATTAATATGAGTTTATAATAGTTTTTCCTATATAATGGTGTGTTCTACTAATATAAACTATTTTATCTTATCTGAATTCATTTTTTTTTTAATTTTTTTTTTCCATTTGATTAGACTTAATTATTATGACTAATTTAATTGTTATTTTGAATTTGGATACCTTTCATTAACCTTTATTAGAACCCCCTTTTTTTTTTATTTTTATTTTTTTTTTAATTTTTGAATATCAATTCAAGCTAGAAAAAAAAACCAAGAACAAGGATAGGATGTCTAAATCATAGATAAGGAGCAATCACATCAAAACGGCAAAAACCAAACTTTAACCCCCATTGTGCGTTACACTAGAATGCTTTCTTTCTATGCAAAGACAAACTCCATTCTTTTCATCACCTCCCTCTCTTTTCTCTCTCCTCACAACCCCCTCATCCTTTTGTACTCTTTCACTCTGTTAAACTTCTCCACTACTCCCCATTTTACACCTCCCACCTCTCTCTTTCCCTTTCTCTCTGCCATTTCCCATCTTCTTCTTCTCCATTTTTCACCCTCTAATCTTTCCTTGTAAAAATTAAATCTCCCAATTATTATTATCTCATTTTCACCTAATTAACAATCCAAAAAAACCCCTATAAAAAACCCCTAAATAAATATCTTTTCAATCAATCAATATTAGAAATGGACATAGAAAGACCTCATAGAACAACTAGCACTCCAACTACAACAAGTGAGCTCTTCATTTGCTTCACTTCTCGCCTCTCTAAATCCTCTTCTATGCGCCTTTCTTCCAAATCTATCCTTAGCCCTGGTCGTGCTGCTACCTCCGTTGATAAATCTTCGAATTCTCTTTCATTGTCATCCTCCCTCAGCCGCCGTCTCCGACACAACGGTAGTTTACGAGGTGGAGCTCAATCACCCGCCATGTTTCCTTCGACATCAAAGAAGAACAAGGGCTCTTCGGGTTTCGCCGATAACCCGGAACCCTCTTCGCCTAAAGTCACCTGTATCGGGCAGGTTAGAGTGAAGACGAAGAAGCAGGGGAAGAAGATGAAGATGAGGGCTTGCCGTAGCAAGCGATTGAGCGGTGGAGGGACAAATGGGAGCAGTGGCGAAGCTAGCTTTCGACGAATCGAACATTCACATTCACATTCCATTGATGGTGTGCAGACACAACAGGGTCAGCAGGAATGTGGGTTGAATCATAGGAATCAGAGATGGGTTCATCTTCCGTTAACGATTTGTGAAGCTTTGAGAGCTTTTGGGTCGGAGTTTAGCTGCTTGTTTCCTTGCAAATCTTCTTGTTTTAGTAGTGGGGGTTTTTGTGGTGGGGGTGAGAAGGGCAAAACAGGGGAGGAGAGAGAAAATCCAAATCCAAATTCTTGCGCTGTTTTCCGGTGGTTGGTTTCGTTGCAAGACGGTGAAGGTGGGGAAAAGCGGAGAGATATTGAGTTAGTGGTGGGTGGGGAGGAGGAGGTGAGGGATAATAGTAGGGTGGTGATGATGGAGAGGGAATGTTCTAGAAGACGGTCGATTTTTGATGATATGGAATTTGATGATTTGTTTCCTAAGGACGATAATAATAATAATGTGAGGAATGATAATAATGAAAGTAATGAGATTAATGGTAATGATAGTAGTAATGGAGATGATGAAGAAGGTGGGAGAGTTAGTGTTTGTGTTCCTCCGAAGAATGCTTTGTTGTTGATGAGGTGTAGATCTGATCCTTTGAAAATGGCTTCGCTTTCGCGGAAGTTGTGGGAGGTTCCTCTTCCTCTTCAGGACGATGGCGATGATGATGGTGAGGCGAAACATAAAGGAGATTATATTGAAGCTGAAAGAGATGTTGGATTAGCGGAGAAAACAGAGGAAATTGAAGACGATAAAACAGAGGAAATTGGAAATGAGAAAATAGAGGAATTTAGAGAAGAAAATGCTGAGGTAATTGGGGAGGAGACGGAAGTATTGGGGAAAGGCAGTGAGGAAATTGATGGAGTTTTGGAAAAATTGGATGAAATGTTGGGTTTTGCCGGCGAAGAATTGAAGGAAGCTGAGGAAGAAGAGCAAGAAACAGAGGAAAAACAGAGTGTGGAAAACAGAGGAATGGTAGATGAGGAGGAATTTGAGGATTCGGAAGATACCCAGTTGATTGAAGATGAAATTACTGCAAATGGGGGTTTAATTGAGACGATTTTAGTTGAAGAGTTTGAAGATGTTGAAAATGAGCAAGATTTGGTAATAAGCTCAGCGGAAAATGAGCAGGATTTGGTAGTTAATTTAGAGGAAAATGAGCGAAATTTACTTGTTAATTCTGAGAATAATGAGCAAGAATTAAATAATTCTGAGAATAATGAGCAAGAATTGAAGGTGGAGAAAGAAGAAATAGCAGAATTAGAATTAGATAGCGACGATATCTCTACAATTCAAGATGAAGAAGAGAGACAAAAATGTGAAAGCAGTGAGATTTTAACATCATTTTCTTGTTCTTTGAATTCATCAGAAGAGTCAACAGCAGAGTCAAAAGACAGAGAAGATGAACAAGAACAAGAACAAGAAAAAGACCCAGTTGAAATTGATGTTGAAGAACAAGAACAAGAACAAGAATTAGTAGCAAGGAAGTCAATAGAAGGAGGAAATAAGAAGACTTTGCCAGATTGTTTGCTATTAATGATGTGTGAACCTAAAGTATCAATGGAAGTCTCTAAAGAAACATGGGTATGTAGCACCGACTTCCTTCGGTGGCTACCAGAGCGCCACCATAAGAAGGTGGTCAATAAACCCGACAACTTGTCTGATTCGTCGATTCCAAAGAAAAACAAACCCGCGGCGGTGGCAGCAATGCCTCCGCCTCATGTTCAGCAACGCTACGAACAAGCGGCTCAGCCGCCTATTCAGCCAGGAAGATCATCTATTTCTTTCCCAGCCGGGGGCGGCTCGGTGGCTAACTTGATCGAGCAGAAGCTTACCAAAGGCGGTAGTGGGTACGAGCCGTTTGTGTTAACAAGGTGTAAATCGGCGCCGTTGAGATCAGCGGCTAAGACGCTACCACCGGAGATGGCTTGCAGTTTGTGGGGAAGAGAAAATGGGCGGAAGCTTGAGCCGCATCGTCCGGCTACGTTCGGCGTCGGTGCGGCTGGAGTCGGCTTCTGATGAAAATCAAACGGCTGAGATTGTGAGTCGCTGCCACGTGGCAATTGGTCTTTGTCCGTTGTGGGCCCTTTGGCAGAAAATTGTTGGCATGGCAGGTTTTTGTTTGTAAATTAATTAAATAATTTTTGGGATTTTCTAGGCTAGAATTTTCTATTAGTGGTTTTAATGGGTAATTAGGTTTTACTAGTACTAGTTGATTAATTATAGAATTGGAGTATTATTATAATGCAGTAAAAATATTTGGGAATGTTTAATTACCTTCATTTTATGTGCCATTTTGATATTTGGACCTTTTTATGTGGTAGAGAGTTGAAAAAGCTGAGTGTGTAGGGTATAATCACACGTGGTATTGGTTAGAATTTACTGACAATTTGGTAGATTTTTATGGGTTTTTTTACATTAATTTAACTAGTATAGTTTATAATGCATGGTTGAACGTTACCTTCAATTTCCAAGTCTATCTTCACAAGTACATTAACATTCACTTGGTAAGTTGGTATATATTGTCGTTGAAGTAATGTAGTTTTTGAGGAGTACAAAATGTGATTGTTTTAAGAGCTTAAGTTTGCTCAATCTAACATTATCGCCTTGGGCGACCTCACCCGTGATTAACTTTTAGTATAATACTTATACCTTAAACTTACTCTTTCGATAAACTTTTAAAGCCAAAACCTTAAATGCCTTAAATTTTAGTTGTTGGATAGTGGCATACGAATTAGAGTGCATATGGGATTGATGTACGGTCATATGATTTGGTACAACGAACCAGGAAGAGATATATGGATTTAGAATAATCAATCATATGAAATCATAATTAATAAAAACATGTGAGAATTTTCTCCTCTGTAAACGGGAAAGTTGAAATATAAGGCTAAGGGAAATTAATTTGATCCCCAAAGTAATACAACAAATAAGTATAGTAGTATATCCTGTTAACTCATGTGCCAACACTCCTGTAAGAGTACTGCAACTAGTAATAATACATGTTGAGTGGAAATACATCATTAGTTTTTAATCCAAATTTTAATAGTTGTCTCATTGTCTTTACATGTGACAATGTTCAAAAATATGCTTTGACTCCTTATTTCATGCATAATACCTGGATCATTTTCATTAAAGTAACACATATATTCTTCTAAATGAAACAAGAGTTATCAATGACATTTTATATGAATGTCTTATGTTATGTTATGGGCTTAGGCCCATACTTTGACAATTTTCACAATTTTTACCATCTAACTAAGGCCCTGTTCTTGTACGTTTATTTTCAGTTCAGTTCAGTTCAGCTCCTAATTTCCTTCTCTTATAAAATATTCAATTCAGTTCAGTTCAGCTGAGTTCAGTCTAAAGAACAGGCCCTAAACCCCATTGGATCAATGATTTTAAAAAATGCTTAATGTCTACTCCATATTTGGATGCTACTACAATCGCTACTCGTAATTTAACTGAATAAACTCATTCATATTCGTTCAATGATTTTAAAAAATGCTTAATGTGCATGTACGGAATGAAAAATTTATTATAGCCTTTTTCTAACAACAAAATTACTCGTTCTTCATGTGAACTAATAATAAAAATGAAAAGATACTAAGATAACCTATTTTCGGTGTAAATAATACATCATTGAGTAGTCACAAAAATTGCACCAAAATGTTGATGTCTTAGCTTCCTGAAAAGCAGGGGGTTGTTTCATGGGAAAAGGGGTGTCCTTTGCTCCCGAAAATAAATGCAATTTCAAGTGGACAAAAAATTTATTTTTTTTCCATATTTTCCTACAAATATTAGCGAAAATTATAAGCTTTTCCTTTAACATTGCAAGACAGCCTTTTCTTTTCCAAATCTTTTCCCAGTTGCTTTTGCTTACGTTACAAAAGATATTATTGCTTTCTTGTTATGTGGAGATACTACTTTATTTTGCACGGATAGAATAACACACTCCACGGTTTTTGTTTGTCTCGGTTTTCTTTAATTTTTATCTTTTCTCTTTGAGTTTGCACCTTTTAACCATATAATGGTAACATGGTATTAAGAATATCTAAGAAATACCACTAGATTTACTACTAAGCCATTTGGGAGAGTGTTATATACACCTGGATGCACAGTGCATTCAATGGTATTTGTTTGAATTATTAACAATAATCAGAAATGAGTAAACAATGCTCTTGAGTGCACCGTACACTCGGGTGTATATAATAATTTCTAGGGTAGCTTAACTAGGCTATATTAGTTTCTAATTAAAAAAAAAGAACTATCACTAATAACTTGTAATCTTATGAAAATTTTCTGTTATTAACTCCACTAGCTAGATCAAAAGATTATAAGTTGGACCTATATTAACAATTAATTAGAAAACAATGAAGGAAGTAATATAATGTTGATTAAAAAGGCCAATTAAAGAAAAAGAGGTGTGTTGTTTGTGAGAGAATGATTTCCATAAAATCATAAAATCATGTATGACAACTTTGTAATTCGAGGAGTGGAGGGATGGTGAGTCTCTGCATCTCATCTCTCAATCTCACCTTTGATACAACTTTGTAATGCAGTCTCTCAATCTCACCTTGGTGTAACTAGGGTTTGATCCTCACACCACCCCTTTGATAGAAAAGGTGGCCTGCATATTACTGAAAAAAAAAAAAAAAAAAAGTATGTCAACTTCGTGGTAATGTCCTTCACCCGTTTAGAAACTTTGGCACATGGATGATGGATATGGTATTGTCTTACATTTTCCTTAGATAGGTCATAGGTAGAACTACCATTACCTAATTTCTTAAAAGTTTTAATTTGAATGTGATGTTTAACTGTTTATTAATCTTTCTTTTTCCTAATTACTCTTACTTTATTTGAATGCTTTAGATTGATTTGTACGATAATCTTTGATATATTGTTCGTTATAGGTTGCGATCATAATAAAGTTAGCCCCTTTCTCAATTTCACTAGAGCCAAATCAACTATGATTTGGTTGGGCTAAATCTTGTAAGTTTTGGACTTTTGGGTATAGGTAGAGTGTATTCTAGTTTCATAGTCCAACAATTTTTGGGCTTTTTGATTTTTTAAGGTCGACTTTTGAGTGAAGTCCAACATGACGATCCATGATCACTTTCGCATACAAATCTACTTGCATTTGCCTAATATTTGACATGCTCTCCTTGTATGTTTGGAATCAACAAGTATAGCGTATAAGACATATCATACTTGTTTATAACTTAGCACTCGATTTTAAGGTGCGTGCATGGTTTGCTATTCAAATAAATTTGGTACTCTATATATACATAATTCAAATACTAATTTATTTTATAATAGTTATATCATTAGTTTAGCACTCAATTTTAAGATGCGTGTACTAGTTACTTTTCAAATAAATACGGTACTCTCTATATAAGTCAAACTATGTTATTAATTTTATGATAATCATGTTATTAATTTGTCACTCAATTTTAAGGTGCGTGCACTAATATCTTTTCAAATAAATTTGGTACCTTGTATGTTATTCAAATACTACACAACTTATAATACTCCGTTATTGTTACTATTAGTTAGTACTCCTTCAATACTCCATGTTTATACTCGTGCAATGCTCTAGGTTTATTTGTTCTTTTTATTTATACTTAGTATAAGTATTATGATTGTTGATCATAACCTGATATTAATAATAATTACTATACTAATAACTTGAATTCATCTAAGAGCGAACTTGAGACTAACTTGATTCGAAGTTGAGTAAAAATTGAGGCTTGTTTAATATAAATTTAACCTAAACGTGAGGTTCGTCAAATTTACATTTTACTGAATTTGCAATCGTTTTAAAGTTGCTTCGTAAAATTCACATAATAGTTTTCTTACTAAATAGTAAAATTCACATAATAGTTTTCTTACTAAATAATACGGAGTAATATAAAATATTCACATAGTTACATGATCCAAATAGTATAAACCAAATATAAACGGTACATCCCCATTCCAAATCCAAACCTGCATGACCCGAGCTAGTATCGAGTCAAGCATATTTAACCGAAACGAAAAAGATCAGGAATTCAGGTTCACCTAATATTGATTGACCTGAATGAACTACTACCCCCGTTAACAGTTATCTGCAACAAAGGGGTCTGTGCGGACTCTAAGGCAAAAGTTTTAAATCATGATAATTGAAAAATAAGGCTACGTGGTTAAGTATAATCCTACCTGAAAAAAAAAATAAAAACAATTAAACAAAAATCAGAACCACTGAAACCCAAACCCACTAAACCTAGAACCACCACCAAAACCACCGGAAACAACCTGAACCACCAAACCCACCGAAACCCAGAACCTAAAACCACCACCAAATCCACCGAAACCCAACCACCAACCCAGCAAAAATCACCATGAACCAAAACCCAACCACTAACCCAGCCAAAATCACCATAAACCAAATCCCAACAGACCACCACCACGAAGAACCACCACAAACCAAAACCACTAGAAACCACCACGAATCTAAGAAAAAAAACCACCAAGAAACCCCGAAACCGACCACCAAGAGCCACCGAAAGTCACCACGAATCAATTACCCACCCACGAAACCAATACCCAACCACGAACCACCTCCACAAATCTGCAAATCCACCCAAACGCCACCAATTTCAACCACGAATCAAGCAAACCACCCACAAATTACTAGATCTAAAACCCACTAGAAGGATGGATTGGAATTTGAAGAGAGATGAGAGATGAAGAAGATGAATTGAGAGATGAAGAGGAGAGAGAAAGATAATGGGAGATGATTAATCTGATTATTAGAGTGGAAAGGGTTAGATAATTAATTTTGATTAAGGTTATAATGTTTTGTAATTATGTGTAGTATTACGTGTTAATAATTTTTAAGTGAGGGTATTTTGGTCAATTTAACAAAAAAAAAGTTACTAAAATAAGAAAGAAATAAGTTTGTTGCAAATAATAGTTAGCACCCTTTTTTGGTAAATGTTGCAAATAACCGTTAACGGAGGTTGTATAAAAGACTTCATAATTGACCAGTCTATAGCTGGAACTTGAACCATACGCCGGGCCGCCGACTCACACACAAATATGCATATGTTAGAGAGGCAGAGGCGGGGCTACAAATGCTAACACTGAAAGTGGCCCAGTGTAATTTCGTTTATTAATTGGGACCTAAAATCAATTTTTTGAGGAAAAGTATGTTACTAATTTAAATAACAAGGGCCCCTTTGATAGTAGTTTCATTTAGGGGCCTTGTACGGTCGATCATCCTGTACATGCTCAGAACTAACCCTGTAGAGATGTTGATTAGCACAATTTTGTGTTAGTCAAGAGGCCTATGATGTCATAGGAGTTGGGCTACCAACTGACCAAATTGTTAAGCATACTTTGCAAACTCGATATTCATAAGTTCATTTAGAGTTTAAGGAATGAGTTTTTCCCCCTACTATAAAAAAGTTCATTTTTTTTATAAAACAAAAAGTTGAAAGCTATTTTTTATTTTACCTTTTATAAAAAATTGGAGTAAAAGATTTCTCATACCTGAAGGAAATGTTTAGCAAGGACCAGAGCTGTCAGTTTCTGACCCGAACTGTCAAACCCGACTGTTTCGAACCGATTTGAAAAGGAACTGAACTGTTTAAAACCCGTTTTTTGGAAACCGAAAACTGACCCGACCCAATTTTTTCCAAACCGAAATTGAACTGAACCGAATTTGTGCAAATCGTTACTAACCCGAACCGTTATCAAGCCAAACCGTTACAACCCGAAACTGAAAGCAACCCAAACCGATTACGTTTAACCCGATAGTAACCCGACCCGTTTTAAACCGAAAACCGTTAAAACCCGATAAAAATCCGATAAACCTAAATCGTTCCAACCCGTAACCCGTTGTGACCCAACCGGTTATAATCCGTAACCCGTTGTGACCGAACCGTTTACGACCCGTAACCTGTTGTGACCAAACCGTTTAAAACCCGTAACCCGTTATGACTGAGTCATTTACAACCTGTTATCCAATATGTTTATGCTTTAATCTGTTTCAACCCACTACTCGATAAACCCAACTTATTTATGACTTGACTTGATTATAACATGACTCGATCCTACCCGTTATCTGACTAATTCGACTCGATAATCATCCGACTCAATTTTAACCCGATATGATTTGATTAGAAACCCGCTTCAAATTGGGTAAACTCGTTTTCAAATCAACCAAGTTCAATCTAAACCGATTATAACCTGAAACGATAATGGTTGGACCCGATTTCACCCGATCTGTTTTGAACCGAAACCCATTTTCGAACCGACCCAGTTAAACCCAAACTGATTATGACCCGAACCAATTACGACCCGTCTTGATTAAGACCCGAATCGTTTTTAACCGAAACCCACATTAAACGGGCTAAACCCGTTTTCAAATCGACCCGGTTCAACCCAAATTGATTATGACCCGAACCGACTAGAACCCGACCCGATAAGGACCTGATCCGAATAGAAACTGCAATTTAAAAAACAAAACCGAACTGACCCGATAATTTTCAAAACCGACCCAAACCGACCCGCTTATTATTTCAACCCGTTATAAACCGACCCGTTATAACCCGAAACTGATAAACCCAACCCAAACCCGAACTGTTTAACCGAATTGACACCCCTAGCAAGCACCAAAAATAGCATGATCTAGAGAGACCTAGAACAACGAGTACACGGAATATTAGGTGGCTGAAAATTTTATGGCTAATGGGCAGTTATTATGAATTAATATACACGAGACTTTATTAAGTTCCTAAAAACCGAAAGGTTGAGTATTTAAATTTGAACATATACCTACTTTACATGAATACAAAGAGAAATTTTTTTTTGCTTGTGGTACCTTTCTTAGGGTTGTTAGTGCAGTCCAAAACTCCAAACTACACCAAAGCACAAACAAAGCCATTTCTTATTTGTTTGAGGTCTGAAAATTATGGCTTGGTTTGGAGTTTTGACCAAAGCGCAGTTTACGTGCAAGTTCTAAAAATATAAAATCAAATTTCACCGCAAACCCAAGTTACATTTAACTCCTGTCAAAAAAAAAAAAAAAGGGTTACATTTAGCTAATTTTGTCCATCATATTCCAGCTAACAAGATTACATGAAGTATTAAGAAGGTTTTCAATTTTTCTTGTATCATGAAACACCCTATTAACTCAAATACCCCGTATTAGAAAATGTCATCTTGGTTTAACTCTAATTCAGAATCATAGTGTCCGTTTTTGAGTGCTAATGATCTTGCATCACTAGGATTAGGGATAGGAAATAAAAAAGACCCATAACAATAATTTGGTAAAAAAGACCCCTAACGACAATTTGGTAGAAAAACCTCATAGATTATTTTTACTAAATTGGCGCTTGAGATTAGGTTTTTTTTTTTTTTTTTTTTTTTTTTTTTTTTTTTTTTTTTTTTTTACTTATCAAATTGGCATTTGGCGCTAATGCTCTTTTTATTTACCAATCTGGTCAATTGGGCTTAGAATAAGTCATTCATTAATTAACAATGCTTAGTGTTACATCATTTTATATAACTACTCCACCAATTTAATTAGACAATTATTAATTTTTGTAGTAAAAGCAAAAGCAACCAAAGCCTTACATATAACAAATTCCCAGCACATCCCCTGCATTTTAAACTTGGAATATCACAATTTCCAATTTCGGACTACTATCTCTTTTAAATTTTTTTAGGATCAAATTAAGCAAGATATAAGACAAACTAAACCTTCATTGCTACTTCTCTACTGCTTTTACTCTATTCAAATATATAAAAAGAGAGTTAAGAGGGATTTTTTTAAAGAAAGAACTCGAAATCAGAGCAAATGAAGTGGCAAAAGGAGAAACTAGATGTGATCCTGGTACCAGCAGGGCTATTCATGATGTTTGGTTACCATATCTTCTTGCTATATAAATACCTCAGGAATTCGAGGTGTACCGTACTCGGCTTTCATAACCATTGCCAAAAAGCATGGGTCAAGAAGCTTATGCAGGTTACATAACAAAACTCTTCTTACATACTTTTCTTCAAGCATCTAATTTAGAATACAAAATCTTAAGCTTGTATAGGTACTAGGTAGTCTCAACTTTCGACGTATAAGAAGGATAAGATTGCGTATACCTGATGTGACCTTGCCTTTGGCATGATGCTCCACTCGAGCACTAGAGTCAAGGGATGATTCTAAGCTACAAACTAAATTACCTAGCCATTTCATTTGATTCATTTTTAAGTACTTTAATTTGGTCTAATTCAACAAGCATGTAAGGCCACCACTCTTTTCACCCACCTCAACAATCATAATATTGTACCATTAACATCATATTAGAACATTATTGTTATATTTCTGTTTGTTAATTGTTTAACTTTTTTTTGAATAGTTATTAAGTTAAACTTAATTATGCTATAATATGTACAATAATGAGGGTGATGACATTAATCTTTTCAGATTGATGCAATGAGTAGAGGTCCGGCGTTTACAGTAATGAACAGCACAATAGTAGCAGCAAATTTCATGGCATCCACTTCTTTAACCTTAAGCTCTTTGATTGGCGCATGGATTGGAAGCTCCTCAAGAAATGAAGCAGTCGGAAGACTAATTTATGGAGATACAAGACAGTCAATCACTTCAATAAAATACATCAGCATCCTCTTGTTTTTCTTACTTGCTTTCGCGTCTTTCATCCAATCTTCTAGGTGTTATGTGCACGCCAATCTCCTCTTGAGTATGCCTAAGGCCGTTGTCCCTGAAGACTTTGTTGTCGAGGACTTAATTCATGGTGCAAATTTCTGGCAGGTTGGCTTAAGGGCGATATACTTTGCTATAACAATGTTAATGTGGATATTCGGTCCAATTCCTATGTTTCTTTCATCAGCTGCAATGGTGGCAGTTTTGTACGTTCTTGATGTGAATACTAAACACTTACATGATTTTAACGAGTCGAGCGAGAAAGAAGAGGGAAAGGAAGCTGTAATAAGGCGTTTCGAGAATCATGAAATGGCTAATGGTAGTTGTGAACTCCATGCTACTACAATTAACACAGCAGTTCTGCCTTCTGTTGTTGCTTGCTTATAAATAAAATAAACTTTGTCCCATGTTACATTTCAATAATAGGCTGTTTTAGAATAAAATGGCACATTCCAATTACTACTCAACCAATTTAATTAGCTCAATTTTTTTATATGATTCCATGAGTTCTTTTTATATGTTAAATAAAGATTCTTTGTATAAGTTTTTAAGCTGTCATATAGTTCTTCTGCTTATGATACTCTACAAGAATATTCTAAAAGAAAGACACAGGATTTCCCTAGAGAAACAGATCGAGGTCGTGGTCGAAAAGAAACAGAATGAAGTGGCATAAGGAAGAGCTAGATATAATCCTGGTACCAGGAAGAGTGTTGGTGATGTTTGGGTACCATATATACTTGTTATACAGGTATCTCAGAAGATCAGAGGATACTACTATTGGATTTGATAACCATTGTCAAAAAATATGGGCCAAGAAACTTATGCAGGTTGGTCAATCCACTCTTTTTGTACATTCTTTTAAGCTTCAACAAAATCAAAACTTCAGCATCCATATGTAGAGTACTAGAGTTGTCTCAACTAAAATCTATGTCAACGCGACAAATTAGCTTTTGGGATAAGACTACGTAAATCTGATCCCTCCTTACCCTGTCTTTGGTGGGATTCTTCGCTTTATAGGCATAAATAGTGAATCTATCATACATTGCGGGGTTGATTGACCCTACTAATTTTTTCGAATTTTTGGAAATACTTAGTATAGAATTTGAAAGTGTGGAATTGTTTGTCAATTATGATTTTATCTCATTTAGCTTGAATCTTGTATGTGTTAGATTGATGCAATGAGTAGAGGTCCAACATTCACAGCAATGAGCAACACAATAATATCAGTAAATTTCACGGCAACCACTTCTTTAACCTTAAGCTCATTGATTGGTGCATGGATTGGAAGCTCCTCAAGCAATGAATTAGTCGGAAGAATAATCTACGGAGATACAGGATTATCAATCAATTCCATCAAATACATCAGCATCTTCATGTTTTTCTTGCTTGCTTTCGCGTCTTTCATACAATCTTCTAGGTGTTACGTGCAGGATAACCTCCTCATAAGTATGCCAAAGGCTGAAATCCCTTTAGAATTCGTCGTTGAGGCCTTAGTGTTCACGGTGGCAATTTCTGGCAAGTGGGTTTAAGGTCGATTTACTTTGCTATAAAAATGTTGATGTGGATGTTCGGTCCAATTCCTATGTTTCTTTCCTCAGTGGCAACGGTGGCAATTTTGTATGTTCTTGATGTTACTAAGAAACATATGCATGATTTTAATGAATCATGTAACAAAGAAGGGAAGAGAAAGATAGCTGTGGATAGGCCTTTTGAGCAACAGGAAATGGCAAATAGTAATTATGGACTTCAAGCAACTGCAATCAATACAGCAGTGTTGTCTGCTGCTGTTGCTTCTTGATCAAAGAAATTAAAAGAAAATACAGTATGATGTATTTTGTATATGCTGAATTATATACTCCTTATTTAGGACTATTTTACATATTTACATGGATTTAGGAACCCATAATATACACGAGTAATGTATGAGTGTATGCGTATAGATTTTTGAAAAAGCTAATACCAATAAGCTTTATAACTGCAGTACTCTCTCCGTCACTTAAAGATTGCCTCATATCCTAACATTCTTTTTCGTTTTTCTTTCTCCACTTTTATCCCATTAGGTTGTTTTATATTTCTAAGACTCAATAAATTTTTAAAGATTGGACTATTACAGAGTAACTTAATACAGTACCCCTAAAAAATGATTAATTAATTACAAGTAGTATTACGGATCAATGTATCTTGTATTAGCTTGTTAATTTTAGTCTCTCTTCTGCTATCCTATTGGCTAGCTGCAACAGCAAATCACCTACTGTTTAAGTGCATTACTGAGTGCTAAAAATGTTTTATCTGTATGATTAGTACGTCTTACATTAGTTAATCAACTTAACTACTCCACTTTAATTAGATTAATATTTTTTATGTATTAAAAGCTAAAGCATGCAATCATAACCTAAGCTTTCATAATACTTTTCCCGCTATTTTTTCCTACCTATCTTGAAATGGACTTTATTCATTTTTGTAAAAGCAAAATTTTAAAAAAAGACTTACTAAACTAAATCTTCATACAATCATACTGCTGGTTTAATTCACTGAGAAGATTGACATCAATCAAGACGATCGAGGGAGAAGAAATGAAGTGGCGAAAGGAGATGCTAGATGTGATATTGGTACCAGCAGGGCTGTTGATGATGTTTGGATACCATATATTCCTTGTATACAGATACCTCAGAAATTCGAAGTGTACTGTTGTTGGCTTTCATAATCACTGTCAAAAAATATGGGTTAAGAAACTCATGCAGGTTAGTCTATATATAAACTCCTCAAAATTATTTTACTCAAAAAAATATTTGTAAAAATCTCAACAATGATTTTATGCCTAATCTCAGGTTGATGCAATGAGTAGAGGTCCAGCTTTTACAGTAATGAACAGCACGATAGTAGCATCGAATTTCATGGCATCCACCTCTTTAACCCTGAGTTCTTTGATTGGCGCATGGATCGGAAGCTCCTCAAGCAGTGAAATAATCAAGAGAATAATCTATGGAGATGCAGGAGTACCAATCACTTCCATCAAATACATCAGCATCCTCTTGTTTTTCTTGCTTGCTTTCGCGTCTTTTGTCCAATCTTCTAGGTGTTATGTGCAGGCTAATCTCTTCTTAAGTATGCCAAAGGCAGGGGTCCCTGAAGAATTCATCGTCGAGTCTTTGTATCATGGTGCGAATTTCTGGCAGGTCGGTTTAAGGGCGATTTATTTTGCTATAACAATGTTGATGTGGATATTTGGTCCGATTCCTATGTTTCTTTCCTCAGTTGCAATGGTGGCGGTTTTGTATGTTCTCGATGTTAATAAGAAGATACTGGATGAGTTTAACGAGTCAAGCGAAAAAGAAGAGGAGAGAAACAAAACTGTGCCCAAGTGTTTTGAGCAGGAGGGAATAATGGTTGATTGTAGTTCTGAACTTCAAGCTACTGCTCTTACCACAGCGCTGATGTCTACTACTGTTGCATTCTAAATGAAATAATTGTTTGTTCCTTAGCTATGCTACACCATTTGTGATAGTTTATAACTCCTTTTTATAAAGTCAATAATTGTGAATTGTATTATGTGAGATTTTGTTATATTCTGAATTTTTTTGTAAGGTCAAAAATTGTAAACTGAACCAGCATACAAAATCTGCACCTGATAAAGCTGCTATTCTGTATATATATAGCGTGATCGACATAAAAGTATGTTATACTCTTGTAGACTAAAATTGTACTAATCTATGACAGGATGTATTAAGAAGTTTGATCAGAATCATTATTTTCCTGATTACTAGCACTTTCAGATGACAGATTGGGGGAACTGGAATCTTTTACGTCAGTAATATTCTCATCGCTACCTGCAGTGTCTCCAAAAAGAGAATCGAGAGTGAGCTTCCCTGAGTAAAGGAATAAGCCGAGAGCGTTGAAGCCAAAAACAAATGTTGCTAGGTAGCACAATCCATTGATAATAGTCCTACAAATAGCAGTAGAAAAGAGTCAAATTGATGCCTATTAAGAATTCTGGAATAAATTTAATAAACTAGTCAGGAATTGTACCTTATTGTAACAGTAATTTGACGAACCTGCAAAGCAGGGGAAATCAAAGAGATTATGACAAACAAAACATAAAATTTTTAGCTGAGCAAACATGAGTACGAACTAAGTTTTAACTTACAAGAGTTTTGGAGAACATACATGTCGATATTCCAGCACTCAGATACTTCATTAGGAATGCATATAGGCAGAGAACTATATGCCTAATACACTAATCATGAGTTGCATGAATGCATATTGATTTCTGAGCTTATATGCATCAAGTCAGCAACATGTGCTAATGTAAAGACTGGAAAGTATGACACTAATAAATTTTTTTGACTTTGAAATTAATTTCCAGAAGAGCAAATACCAGTTTCATAAACAAGGGTGTTGAATATTATGATTAAGAAACCTCATGGGACTGTCTTCAAAGAATACGCCTGTTTCACTAACTATGTCTATTTAGCTCCTTAAACATGAATTTCAATTATACGAAGTAACTTAAAACAACAGCCACAAAACATATTAGGCAGATTTTAAGTAAATTTTCGAAACAGACAAGGGACATAGATAATTATGTATCAATAAAAAATGATATAAAGAGACATGGTCACATGCAACAAGGTTGTACAGAAAGGGGTTATATGATATTATGGTGGTTGCAATTAATGTCCGTACCAAGTTACCAACACACATAGAATCATTGTTTTTAAGGCATTTTCAGAGCTAAAGGCAGATTACTTTAACTATTAATTACACAGCTAAAAAAAAATAAAAAAAGATAAAAAAAAATAAAAAAGATAAAAAAAAATAAAAATAAAACATGGATAGGTTACTTGTAGCCTTTCTATGTAGGCTGAGAACATAATTTTTTAGAACATGATCACATATCTGTCTCTGAGTAAATCAAACTCTAATAAGGCAATAATTATTGCAGCAGCCATGTAATACAGCCATCTATGTGAGGCACTTACATCACTATTAGAGCTACAACAACAACAACAAAGCCTTAGTCGCAAAATGATTTGGGGTTGGCTAACATGAATCAACTATTGAGCTACAAGAAGGAAGAAACATGGAACTTTTTCAAGCTTATATCTACTTTGTGGCATGCAGAAGGCAAGGTTAAACTAAAATTACGTAGCTCTAAGAGGGAGAAGCTAGTCCAATAGTGAAACATGTACGGCTAAACAGGAAGGTATCACAAAGGAAGTTACTGGTAAAAAAGCCAATTACTGGTAGATGATTGACCAAGTAGAGACAACCACCATAATATTAGAATCAGACCAACAACTCTTCTGGGAAGAAAATAGCAGTTCTTTTCAAACAGGAAAGGAAACCTGATGTATTGAAACATCAATAAGCTTTGTCAAGCAGTCTAACTTCTGTTGAATCATGCAGTTTCAGGTAAAACGTCATGTGGTGGACTTGGCTCAGACGAGAGCGGAGCACAAGTCAAGTTTTATAATCTTTACTACCAGGGTTAAACACAAGCTCTTCCTCCGATGAAATCATTACAATATACTATGCAGCCTAATATCTAAAAATAAGATGAAATGACAAATTGATGCATCTAAACAAAGTCTTTTTGTCTAAGATGTTGACAATGTCACTAGCTAGTAGCTACTGCAAGTCACACTTTTGCAGTATGTGTTTACATACAGAGAACTGCCTATCAGCATTCAATGACGGCAGGTTTATGCAAAATACTAATCTTTCTTTGGATTAGTTTGTAAGCCTTATGCTTAAGATATCATAAAATCTAGGGCCATCCATCCCTTCTCTCTCAACAAAAGAGAAGAAAACAAAACGGAAACTAAAGTAAAAGACTTGAACAGCCACATACCAAAATTATCATCATCACTCCACTGAAAGAGTGGTCAGTATTATATTTCTCTTAAAATTGAATATGTTAGCTGTCAACTTTTAGAAAGATATGATTTTGGAATTTTGGAATTTTGGGTAAAAGACGTTCAAGGACCATTTACCAATACAAGGGAAAGAAAAAACTCTATATACATATATAACTTTCATGCATTATTTGGGTCATGAATACCATGGATGGAGGCTGAAGCAAACAAGCACCATCTGTTTCAGAAGAAGGCTATGTTTAGTTCACATGATCTGATCTTTTCTAATCTGATCATAGCCGATGTAAGATGATATCATCTTAACTAAGTTGAACTGAACATAGCCGAAGTACAGCTGGTCAGCCATGGAAGAAAGAGTAATAAAAGTACCAACAAAGATGATTTTATTGAGAATGAATTAACAATTAGGCTCCATGGGCAAGAGGGAAAGAATATGAAAATTGTTACCAACATCAAGCAGTAGTGAGGATTACATGATAAGCCATTTCTCTATAAAATTATATTCTTAACTACACATAAATCTCACAGTCACATATCATTTATTGATATTATGAAATTACTTTTTATTTAACACTCTCCTAGAGCAGCATTAAATCTCATCTAAGCCTCAAACCACAGAACAAAGTGAGAAAGCATGGAATTTAATAATAATAATAATAAAAATCAGGACATGTACGTTCAGGAAAAAAAAAGGAAAGGAGTGAAAGGACAAACCGAGTAATTATCAGGAATTGTTTGCCGATTAAGAGATGCCTCGATAGTAGTTGTAAATTTATACAGAATGGCTGCAATAACAGCTGCAGTGATCGCTCCTAAGAAGGCCTGAACAGGGGATGGTGAAGATTTAGGTTCAATCGAGACCGATCCAATTGCTTTTAAGCTATCCAATGCTTCCTCTTTCAAACTCTTTGCACCAGAGGCTCTCATTCTCTAAGACCACAAAACATCTACAATACATTAACATCTCAAGAAGACAATAACTTTGCTCGAGTATTGAAAATCACATGCCTCAATTGGTAAAATGATATAACCAAGAACATTGAAATCTAAAAGATGCAAGGGTCAAGATATCAATTTGCTAGGAGCCTAAGTGACCAAATATGATTTAAATTACGTTGCCCAGGAGATGTTGAAGCTGCATAGATTATTTGTATTGTGCCTATTATCATCAACGAAGGAGAAAATATAGAATGAGCGTGAGGTAATAATTCCATATTGATCCGAACCAACCCATACGCTCCCATTTTTAATAAGATTCCGGCTAGCAACATACAAGTACTATAATGTGCTTCTCCGTGGGTATCGGGTAACCATGTATGTAAAGGTATAATCGGTAATTTGACAGCAAACGCAATAAAAAACCCAATATAGAATATTATTTCTAATGACATAGGATACGATTGATTAACTAATATTTCGAAATTTAATGTTGGTTCATTGGAACCATATAAACCAACACCCAGAACTCCCATTAATAGAAAAATAGAACCCCCTGCAGTATACAAAATAAATTTAGTAGCGGAGTAAAGACGTTTCTTTCCCCCCCACATGGATAAAAGTAGATAAACAGGAATTAATTCTAATTCCCACATTATGAAAAAAAGTAAAAGATCTCGGGACGAAAATAATCCTATTTGACCACTGTACATTGCTAACATCAAGAAATGGAATAATCGAGAATCTCGAGTAACTGGCCAAGCGGCTGCAATAAACCCAACCAAAAGACCGTCTTTATCAACAGTTAACAGGAAGGCATAATCCCAAAAACCAACTCAAAAAACTACCATCTCTAAATCACAATTCTGAACTTTTATGCTTGCTAGCAATTCAACAACTGTACCAACCTAAAGCAAAGATCTCTTACAGGCCTGAAAATGAAAATGCAATATCTAGTGGTCAAAACATATTTTACTCCCTTGGTCGCACGTTAATAAGCTACAATTCTATTTCTATATAACAGGTCACTCCATATTTACCTATTAAGCAAATTTGCCTCATTTCTCAACAAATCTACAAACTATAAAGGCGAATTTTGGTATTTCAAACCGAGTCCTTAAAATGACCTCATAACAATGGTGTCCTATTAAAGAGGTAAGGAGGAGAGAAAATACAAGTTTATCAAATTTGTAAGGCAATTGGCAAATGAAGTTGCATTTTTGTAATTAAATCAACAAAAGTACTCATTATATGTACAATTAGCATAGTATTTTTGTGATAAAATCACTATATATTCATGAAAATGGGATCATTATTCTCAATTATCATCACATATTCATGATAAACAAACCAAAAGATATTCATTCAATAGCCATAAAGATACACTAAACAACTATGAATGTACATTAAAAAAACATTGAAGATATGACCAACAACAATATAAATACAATAAACCATCAGCATTTGGCAAAAATTAATACTTATGCTGTTATGCTACTTGATTTATCAAATGAAAGCTTTACATTGTTTATATATACGTGCACCAGGCAGGTAAGCCGTATCATTATCCACACAATAGGCAATATTGAAAAATGAAGTTCAATGAATTCCAAATTAAATCTACTAATAAACAAGTATAAAGCCAGTATCACAAATTTGAAAGAACCCCACAAAACTAAGAACTGCAATTTAATCAAACAACACATAATCAAACACAATTCTTCATACCAATTCCTTAGCTCGTTTAGCTCTGCGACGAATTGAGCGAAAGAGAAAGACAGTAATAGCCCCAGTAAGAAGAACACTGGTGGAGACTTGAAGAGGGGTAGGGTCGT